AGAGCGTCTGCGACTATACCTGTACTTCTTAACTATCAGCAGAGCCCTCTAGCAAAGATGAAGTGTATTCTGATAAGGATTTTTCCTGCCTGTGGGGGTACATTACATCCCCATAAAGTAAACTGTCCAAAGTATTCTTCCATCAGCATAACTGTTTACACTAGTTTTCCTGTATAGTTGTATCTAAGGGTGCACCGATAAAGATTTTCTTGGCCAGCACTGATAGCCAGTTATTAACCAGCCATATTGGCTGATACGGATCCGATAACAGATATTTAGTAATAAAGCTTGTTGAACGAGGTGCAGTTCAAGCACCTCCACCACCATTTCTAAACGTGGGAATGCTGATACAGGAGACACAGCAGCACTTTAATTAGAGCGGCTGTCAGCAACACTAATTAAAGTGCTACCCTCCCTCACCCTCCGGCCAGAGCACATATAAAAGTGCCCCATGCCACTTGCCAGCTGTCTGAGCCTGAGGGTGTCGAGGGCTGGGTGGTCTCTGGTTACTTTCATTAGAGCGGCTCTCCAAACTGCTTTAATTAAAGCATGCCCCCCCCCGGGGCTTCCTTCCCATCATGGGAAGGACCCTGCTGCACACAGCAGCGGGGAACAGCTACCCTGGCCCCTGCCAGGCTCTGCCCCTGGGTGCAGACCTACGGGCACAATGAGTTAAGTCACTCTGGACTGGGCTAGGCAGCTCAGCTCCACCTGCCGCAGTCATGTCTGCGGCTTTCAGCACCTTCTACAGAGCCTGCCCCAGCTCCAGCACACAGTCTGCACCGCACCAGCTCCCAGGACACCATGGTAGCTGCTCTGTTCCAACCCAGCCCAACCTGCGGGTGAGGGTCTGGGGGTGTATCTGGGGTCACCCCGGCTCATGGGAGGGAACCCAGGCATCTGGGGGCCCTGGACCCATGGGCAAGAGGGAACGCAGGCATCCGGGGGCCCCAGCATAATTAAATTACCAGAGAACAGTGGTTACATCGACCAAAAAAAGTTGATAGCTGATCATATTAATTTTCCTTTTATCGGTGCCTATCCAGCCAATATATTGGTGCACCTCTAGTTGTATCTTGCAGCTTGGGGTGTGATTTTCTTCTTTTTTTTTTTAATTCTTATCTGTTGTAGCTGCGCTGGAAAACCTTGTAATGTATAGTTGGACTAAGAGATGATGGTAGTGGAAGCAAGTATACAGAAGAGTCTAGGTCTCTGCAAGAGGCAAGAACTGAAGGCATGAGATTTGAAGAGGATGCTTGTGATGGAATAGGTCCATTTTTTTGGAGATGGAATTAGGTGGTTCAGAAGCAGAGAGAAAAGAGGAGGAGAGAGGGAATGGGTGCAACCTGAGGAGTGGTGTGTCTTGAAAAGCCTGGAGATGATGGTGGAGTGATGGAGGAATATGAATTAGGGCAGAGGGTATCAGAGCTGAAGATGGGGCAGCGGCAGATATGGATGTAAGAGTTGGATTTGTACTGGTGGACTCAGTAATGGAGGAACATCTAGAACTGGGGTGAATGTTAGGAATATGAGGGTAATAAAAATAGAGAAGTGAAGTTACTAGTGGGGAAAAAAAGGATTAATAGTTTCATAGTTTGTAGGGTCGGAAGGGACCTGAGCAGATCATCAAGTGCAACCCCCTGCCATGGCAGGAAAGAGTACTGGGGTCAAACGACCCCGGCAAGGTGTTCGTCTAACCTCCTCTTAAAGACCCCCAGGGTAGGAGCCACCACTTCCCCTCTTTCACTGTAGTGAAATCAGCCACTAGATCCCCCCTCAGCCTTCTCTTGTGGAGGCTGAACAGGTTCAGGTCCCTTAGCCTCTCCTAGTAGGGCCTGCCCTGCTGGCCTCTGATCATGCGAGTAGCCCTCCTCTGGACCCTCTCCATGTTGTCCACATCCCTCCTGAAGTGCGGCGCCCAGAACTGGACGCAGTACTCCAACTGCGGCCTGACCAGTGTCGCGTAGAGGGGGAGGATCACCTCCTTGGACCTGCTTGTGATGCATCAGTGGATGCATGACAAGGTATGGTTGGCCTTCCTGACTGTGTCCCCACACTGCCAGCCCATGTTCATTTTGGCATCAATAATGACTCCAAGATCCTTTTCTGCCTGTGCACTGATGACAAGGGAGTTCCCCAGCCTGTAGGTATGCTGCTGGTTCTTCCTCCCCAGGTGCAGTACCTTGCACTTGTCAGTGCTGAAACCCATCCTGTTCTCATCCGCCCACCCCTGTAACCTGTCTAGGTTCGATTGCATCCTATTTCTCCCTTCTAGCGTGCCCACTTCCCCCCACATCTTAGTGTTGTCTGCGAATTTGAACAGGGTGCTTTTTACCCCCTCATCCAAGTCACTGATGAAGATGTTGAAAAGTGCAGGCCCCGAGGACCAAGTCCCGGGGGACCCCACTACCCACATCCCTCCAGGTAGAAAATGACCCGTCCACAGCCACTCTCTGGGTGCGGCCCTCTAACCAGTTAACGACCCATTTGACTGTGTAGGTGTCAACGCCACAGTCCCCTAGTTTTTTAATGAGAATGGGGTGAGAGACAGTGTCGAAGCCTTCCTGAAGTCCAGAAAGACTACGTCCACTGCTACCCCTGCATCTGAGGAGGAGAACAAAAGTAGTGACGGAGAAGGAAGGAGAACCGTAAGTGAATGGCAGTTAGACCAGGTTTAAAAAACAAAATGGATAGACTTAATAATTCTCCAGATTTTGCTTTCATTTAGGTTTTTTTCATAAACAGTGCTATGCAAACCTTCCTAATTCTAGGCTCAGACTCTAGTCATTATTTCTTTTTTATTTCTTTTCTTTCCTTATTTTTTATTTTTTGTGCGCTTGTCTTTAGATCGGAGACACCTGGTACCGTTGAAAGTGAATCTCTGTTCCTGGCTCGACTGAACTTCATCTGGAAAGGTTTTATCAATATGCCTTCTGTAGCGAAGTTTGTCATCAAAGCATACCCAGTATCTGGCTCTTTTGAATATTTAACAGAGGTATTGTCTTTTTCCTGTGTTTATATGTATTACTAAGAGTGACAGATTAATGTAAAACAATGTATTTATTCATTTTCTTTGTAGTTTATTTGGGACTACATTCAAAGGGTCAAAGTTGTGCTGTGGTGAAAACAAGTGAAGCGTGTGCATTATACTAAGCATAATACTGGTGGACTGAGTTTAGGGTTTATTTGTTTAACAGTGAAATTTTTCTTAAGTGAGCAAGTGGTTCATTGCGATGTAATCTCTGTAGAGCTTTTCATGGTACCTTTTTGCTGTGTTTCTGGAAGTATCTTTCAAATACCTGGTATCTCATAGGGGTCCCCAAATAATCAGGGGGTTGAGGGATGAACTAGGTCTGTTACAATATACTTTTACAAGGTAGGTATTTAAATTTTAAATTACTGTAAACTGCCTGTTAAAATAATTATCATACTAGTCTGAATAATAATACTTCTAAGGCTGCTGTTATGCAAACTGAGCTAGCCTTAACTCACACTCACAATAATACCTTTTCCTTCTCCTTAGTGTATTGTGCATGAGAGAGCTGGCTGTTGAAAGAAAAGCCTCAGTGGTATTAGTTTTCTGGTTAGCAGTGAGTTTAGTTAGATCAGTTTATTAAAATTTAATTGTTTTTCTTTGAACAAACAATCAGCTTATTGTTTGGAGAGAGGGTGCCTGCTGGTGGTTCCTATTCTGGGTGCAGGCAGGCACAGTTTGTATAATAGAAACTTGTATCCTTTGTTTTTGGTGTCTCTACTTTTATAAGCCAAATACCCAGACCATGAGAATTTAACATAACTTTTCATAGCAAAATTTGCAAAGTATTTGTTATCCATAATAATATTTTCAAAATCTAAGAGAAGAGTGGGGTGGGACTTTCAGAGTCCTTGCAATAGTTGCCTTTGTAAAAAAAAAAAAAAGAGAGAGAGAGAGAGAAAAAAAATCAGAGATCAGCTTTACAATCAAATAGAAGTAGGCTTTATTAATGTGTTGCATTTACTTATCTTTATGCCATAGGAGTCTGTGGTATTGTAAATCTTCAGTGAAATGCAGGGCATGCAGTGTACATTAGTAGTCAGGAAAGTTGTGTTACAGAATTCCTATATAATGTGTTGTGTATTCTTTGTTTTACTTTAAAATATTGTTTATGAATTGTTTCATAAATGATTTTGACAGTCCTTTTTATCGTAAATCATGAGACTAACAGTATCAAAGAATTAGTACATCAATAACTTGACTTCTAAAATTGTTTTTGTTCTGTCATTACTGCTAATAAAGATTACAAATAAGTTTACATTATAATCCAATTTTAACTTGTTCATTATGAAACATCCACTTTTAGGTCTACATTTTTCATTCCATTGTCCACTCGTAGAGGTACAGGGTACTTCTGCAGACTTATCCTTAACTTGTATTTCCATTAAAAAAAAAAAAAGGAAATCTGACTTAACTAATGTACGGAGACTTCAAAGTTCTTGTCTGAATACATGAGTCCTTTTAGTGTGTTGTTATTCATGTTAAAGTATTACTTTAGCTAAGAAGTACTCCAAAACAGATGGTGAGCGTAAGAAAGAAATACAAGTTTGTAGGAATTTAAATTCATTGAAAACTGAAGTAAATGCATTTTACACACATACTTTTCAGTAGGAAACTGTCTTGCCGTGGTATTGTCAGAGACATCATTAATAAAATTGACTTAAGTTGACTTATTTTTAAAGCAAATCTGACTTATAGAAAATAATTATTAATATTTTGTAGAAATTTTCCATTTTTTAATTTCAATGGAAGCAGTTTTTAAACAAATAAATATTATTTCCCCCAATGCAAGTATTCTTACAGTCTGAAAGTGAATTCAGTCATTAACAGAAAACAATCTCTTTTGTTTTCAGTATCTAAGATAAAATTTTGAAAAAGGAACTAACATGGGTATTGAAAATTAAATTGGATTACACATTTTTAAAAACATGTAATCTCTCTTTTTTCATGCATTGATACTAACGGGCTAAGAACAAGAAGTTCCCATGCCACTTTTAACTATTTTTTTATGTTCTTTAAAAATATGTCAATGTAATTAAAATATGCAGTTTTGAGAGTTTACTAAAGACAAAGTACAAATCTTTTCATGTTTCTATGAAGATCATTGCTCCCAAAAGCCTTTCAACCAACTAAAATAACATATTCAGGCTCTGATCTAGGAGTGTCTTAAGTGCTTTTCTGCATAAGAGCCTTGATTAAATATGATCATGACTCTAGCAGTGACTTGCACTTGCAAATCAATATACTTTCTTTAGGAGTCTGCTTTGAAAATGCTGTTAGCTATGATTATTGTTAATGATGTACAGGCCATGTTATGTACAAGGGGTACCTGTGTATTCAGTTACAATTCTTGTATTCAAACTAGAAATCTTAATTTTGGTGTCAGCGGTTTAATGCAAGCTGCTTTTTGTTTCTCCGTATTATCGTAACTTCTGCTTAGAATGTGAACTGCAAGAATTTTTTAAGTCAAGTGTCTTTTGAAAATATAATAGCTAAAATAGATTTAAATTTTATATTTGTCACAGGACTTGCCTGATAGCATTCAAGTAGGTGGCAGGATATCTCCTCATACTGTTTGGGAGTATGTTGAAAAAATAAAAGCTTCAGGGACCAAGGTAAGGAAGAAACACTGTAATTTACTTTAAATGATTGAAGACTTAACTGTCTGAACTGGTAGATAGGGCTGCTCTTCTCACTTCTCTCAAATCTTTCCTGAAGGCTCTTTTCTCTTGATCCCTCAAATTTGCTTATTTTGTGGGATACTTGGTTTTTATAGACTGATTGGAGATGGGAGCTGATACATTTTATCCCACCACCTCCCCCTCACCTAACCTTCTCACATCTTTGTCAGCTTCTATTGTGAATGCTGTGGAAATTGCATACATTATATGGTTGTTTGCACAGCGCTGAGCAGATTTTCAGTAATAATTTTTTAATTTCTTATGTTACATTATCTGAAATGGTTTGTGTTTAAAATCTTTCAGGTTCTGAATCCAGTAGTTCCTATTTACTGCTCTGCACTCAAGTTGCTTGGCCTGTGGTTTGTAATTGCAAGCATTCAGTATAGTTTTGCAAGGAACATTTATCCAAAGAGATGGCAAGCTGGGGCCCTTCTAAGTCCCCAGGCACTGGAAGTTGTTTTTTTTTCTGTGCATTTGGATGAGTTTTAGAATTTTACAGACTTTTAAACTTGTCACATTCTCATTTGAATATGTAAAGTGAGTGCCTATTGATAAAAAATTTAATTTGCATCTTTGGTTGTACATACCTCATTTTTAGACATCTGTGTTTGAAAATGTATAATTTGACAAAGGCTTCAGGGAGCATCAGTCTTAGACCTGTGGCTTGTTCTTAATTTTCACCCCATGTTTTAAGTCCCCTTAACCATTCATGTTGTTGTTGTTGTCCCTCATTTCTGGTATTACATGGACAGCGTGGCAAAGGAGCGGGCTTAGCTGCAAATTACTTTACAAGGAGGAACCATACACAAAAGCATCTACATGTCCCACACCTTCTCCACCCACCCCTTCACCTGCGCTCTCACAGGACATATGCAGGAATATGCAAGGCTACTTTCTAGGGTTGCCCTTCTGCAAGTACAAAGGTCTCTAGAGCAGTTGTAATGAGATGTACTACTACAGGACCACCAGTGCATTTCCAGGTTTGGACTGTGAGAGTGGATAGAAGATCATACACAGGGATGTCTCGGCCAGGGCATCCTACTGCTGTCCTGGCAACATACCCTAAGAAGCATCCAGTATTGTGTGTTAGATTATTGGCTTCCCACCAGTTGAGGCACCTATCAGATTTGTTTTTTCTAGATTTCAGCAACAACTTGCTCAAAGCAGCTGCTAGGTCTGTGTGATTCTGTAGCTTATCCAGTTCTGTTGCATCAAAACCATCTTTACTCCTGCTTCATTCAGGATAAAGATTGAGCCATTTAGCTAACTTATATTGCTGCAGGCTCACATAGATATAACATTTTAATCATAATAGCTACAGTATCCTCCCAAGCAGCAGCTTCCCATCCCCTTTTGAAGTTGTTAAAATGTGAGTTTGTCCACACCCTTGCTGAATACCCAGAGATGTGAATTTAAGCCTCCCTCTGGACTTGTACAAAAAGCTGCTTCCATTCGACCCAGCTGTCGGTGGATATCTAATTATTCAGGCTGAGCAGTCAGAGGGATCTGGACATGATACTACATCACTTCTTTGTATTCTGTTGGCTACAAGAAAACTTACAACCCAGATCGTTTAACATCTGATATTCAGAGCAGCTGTAAAAAGATGTCCTGGAGTGGCCCCACCCTTCTAATTCCTGGAGTCCTCTAGGCAGTAGGGTATCTGGAGCAGAACCTGTCCCCCTTCACTCTGCCTAGTGTGCTCCAGAACAGACTGTGGTGGGGCTTGCAGCACCTACCTGTCACCTACCTGCTCAGGCAGTTGTGGTATCTCTTTCTCTGGAGGATTTCAAGAGTAATAGATAGGCATAGCATTCCTGCATTCATGAAGGTGGTTGAGCTAGATTAACCTTTGAGGTCACTTCCAACCGTATGACTCAATGTTTTTGTGCTGACTTTTCCCTGTAGCAGTTGAAATTTCAGACATCAAAAATGGTTCAAAATACAGCTTCCTAATCTCTTTTGGAAGAAAATATTTGGTCTGTGTTCTAACAAAGCAGGCATATAAGAATCAGCAAATTCATAGAAAGTGTTTCAACTTTGGTCCTGTACTGTAATCATTATTAATTTCTTATTAATTCTGTTTTCTTCAGTCCCTCATTGCTTCAGAGACTTTTTATCCTTGTCTCATATGCTTTAATTTCTTTCCTTCATCTTCTCTTCAGTTTAAGACTTGGTTCCTTTTTCTTTAGTTCACATCACAGTTTTACAAAGTCCTTCACACTCACAGCTGCCTTGTGATGGCAGAACTCCTGTATTCTGCCCGCAAAGTATTGTGAAACCTGCAAATGGCAGAAGGCTTCTGTCATTTATTTGTTCTACAGGAATGCTGCCAGAAAGTGTATATAGATGTCCCTGCACTTTTTGATGGCATGCACATACCCTTTAACTGCTGGTGTGTACCAGGGGCCTACTAGGAGAGTTGCTGTAGTGGTGTTGCACGCCTCCGGCAGAAACCGAACAGATGAGGACACACCCTGACAGGTGTCCTGTCGCAGAAGGCTTGTAATATAAACAAGACTTTATTCTGGATGCTTGGATGAAAACTAGTTACCAATTAATTAAGGAAATAAATAGTTTTAAAGATTTTTCACCATCTTTTTTTTTCTTTTCCTTTTTTAAACAGGAAATTTGTGTAGTTCGCTTTACCCCTGTAACTGAAGAGGATCAGATTTCCTACACTTTGCTATTTGCATACTTTAGTAGCAGAAAGCGTTATGGTGTGGCTGCCAACAACATGAAACAAGTGAAAGATTTATATCTCATCCCTTTAGGTGCCTCAGACAAAATTCCACATCATCTTGTGCCTTTTGATGGGCCTGGTAAGTATATACAACACATGGCTTGGAAATGTATATGTAATAGCACTTCCCACAATGATTGAAAAAATGAAATATAGCTGAAAAATTGTTGTGTTTTTGATCATGAGTACCAAACATCTTGTTCAGGTATGAATTTATTAAAAGTTCTGGTGCTACATGAACATCTTAAGAGATTGCCAACTAGTTTCCAATACACCAGACTACTTTGATGCTGTATTTTAAACAATTTGCCTGAAAAAATTTGAGATGAATTAACTTCAACCTATGCTGCCATGTGAAATAGAGGAAGCATATTTGCTATTTAATATGTCTCAGTCTATAGAGCAGTACAAATGAACTGTGAAAGAAGCCATTCCATCATTCACACTCACTCTTAGTTCTATAATTACATTGTAATTTAAAGAATTATTTTTACAGTATCCAAAATACCCTAGGTACTCTAAGTAATAAAAAGACAATTCTTTCTTAAAAACCTTACAGGATAAATTAATTACAAAGAAATATTAAGAGGGATGAGAATTGGCAGACAACTTCAAATGCAAGATTCTGAAATTGTTTACTTATTTTGCACTCTCCACTTCAGTTAAAAAATGTAATTTTTTTTTCACAAATAAATGAGTTTGTGTTGGATTTGAAACACCTTAGTCAGAACTTTAGCCTCATCAAAACTCAAAAGGAGTCATAACAGTCAATTAAACTGGGTACATGGATTTCTAAGAAACTTCCTTTCCCACCAGTGGGATATTTTTTTTTCTGGGGAGCATGTGAGGATGAAATTAAGTCTGTCTCCAGTATATGTTGTGGGATTGCAAAAAAACCCAAAGTGCTATGAGCAGCTACATGTTCAAAGCCCCACCCTTCCCCCCTGGCTGAAGCACAACAGTGCCACATTCTCCAAGGGAAGAAAAAGGACTTCTCCATAGCTCTCCACAACTAAGTGAAGACAAGGGGCAATTTTCCTTGTGTAGAATTTAATTATTCAGGTTGTCTTAAATTGGGAGTTGTCTTGGATTTGAGTAAATGATATATTGCAAGTAATGACTTGAGTAAATTAATTTTAAAGCCTTTTTTACTTAAACCAATGCAAGCTGCTTGTATAGATGAGACCTTAGGTGAAAGAGGTGTAGCTTTAAGAAATGATCCCATTACATATAGGTTAGATGGCTGAAATTCATTTCTCTGATCCTTTTGTCCTCCTTGGGCATAGCAACAGCAGAAACTGATATAGCCTACCTGTAGAATTCTGTAGACAATAATATAGGCTTCTTTTTCATTCAAATACTTTTCTTCTGCTAAGTGAATTTTATTAATTACTGTTATGATTTTATGCAGGGATAGAGTTACATCGACCAAATCTGTTACTGGGATTGATAATTCGCCAAAAAATGAAGAGACAGATGAGTGCTGTTACTACCACTAGCACTAGCTTTGTGGATGAAATTCCAGAAAGTGTTCCAAGCAACTTGCCACCAGAAAAAAAAATCAAACCATGCAAACCTGAAGTTTCTCAAACTGAACTGGTATTAGAAGAGGAGGAAGAAGAAAACGATTTTTTTAATTCCTTCTCAACTGTGCTGCATAAACAGAGAAATAAACTCCATCAATCTAATACAGAAGAAAATCCAACAGTTATTGAACCTTTAGTAGAAAGCATTAAACATGAACCACCAAAGCCTCTAAGATTTCTTCCTGGAGTTCTGGTTGGTTGGGAAAATCAGCCTTCTACTCTTGAGCTGGCAAATAAACCACTGCCAGTAGATGACATACTTCAAAGTCTTTTAGGTACCACAGGACAGACATATGAACAGAATCAGTCAATTGTGGACCAGTGTGAAACAGGAGAAATACCTTTATTAAATGAGCAACCAACCTTAAAAGAAGAAGAAATGGCTGTGGATGAATTTACTGCTGATGAAGAAACTAAAACTGGATTAGATGATGCACAAGAAACTACAGATGACAGTGTTACAGTGGATACACCAATTGAAGGGACTGCATGTTCACCAGGAACTGCAGGAACTTTGATAGGCCTTAGCCTTAAGGGTAAACCACCAGATGTTTCTACGGAAGCATTTTTAGCAAATTTATCTGCTCAGTCACAGAGCAGAGAAACTGAGGAAGGTAAAGAAATTGACCCAAAGTGGCAGCTGTCTGACAAAGAGACTGTTGCAAAAGAAATCAAAAGAACCACAGATTCTAGCTTTTCTTCTTGCTCTTCAAATTCAGGTAAAATTAGTGATGATAATAATGTTAGCACAGGTACTGCTGAAGGTATGGCTGCTAATACCTCCAAATCTCCACAGTTCATTAATCTTAAAAGGGACCCACGACAAGCAGCTGGACGCAGTCAACAAACTAATGCTGGAGAAAATAAGGAAGGTGACATTAGCAAAAATGAAGATAAGCAAAATGTATGTGGTCATTCACAAGATAAAGAACACTTAGGAGCTTCAAGAAGTGAGCAGATGGAAGTAGAAGATAAAGAGCCACCCGGAGAGAAGGATTTAAATTCATGCCAGAGTGATATTCCAGCATGTGAGCCACAGTACACCAAATCTGCAACAAAGGCAGATAACGCATGTTCCTCACAAACAGAAGAGACCAAACAGTTGCAGGAAGATGGAGTGATGAAAAATATTGAAACGGTGCAGCCATTTAGAAGAGGACCAGCAACAACCTCATCTCATTTTGAAACAGAAAATTCTTCTCGTTCTGAATTCACTTCCAAAATCCCCAGCTCACTTGCAGGTGGAAACTTCTCATCAGTTAGGTCTCAGCAACATAGTTTTCAGGCACCTAAATCTAATCCACCTGGATTTCCATTTCAAACACCCGTACCTCCTAACTTTCCTCCACAGAACAGCCCCTTGTTTGGATTTCCTCCTCATCTACCACCTCCACTTCTTCCTCCACCAGGTTTTGGCTTTGCTCAAAATTCCATGATGCCATGGCCACCTGTTATTCATTTGTCAGGTCAGGCACCGCATTATGTTGGGCCCATGTCACAAGGGCTACCACTGGCTCATAAACAGCCAAGATTTGCCGGGCCAGAGAACTTTTTTCAGAGTAAAGACAATAGGAGACCAGAAAGACGTCATAGTGACCCTTGGGGGAGACAAGAACATTTGGAGAGAGGGTTAAGTAGGGGGAAAAATGAGCAACATAGGCAAAGATTTTATAGTGACTCCCACCACCAAAAGAAAGACAGACATGAAAAAGAGTGGAATGCTGAAAAATACTGGGAGCCAGACTCTGAGAGGAATAGACGCAGAGACAGAAACCAGGAAAAGGAGAGAGAAAGAAAAAGCAGAGAGGAAGAACATAGAGACAAAGAAAGATTACGACTTTCACATGGTGATAAGGGATCTGATGGAAAATCCTCTAGGGAGAGTAGGAATCCAGAAAAAAAGACAGATAAACCTAAAAGTGAAGAACATGAAAAGGATAAAGAAAGAGAGAAAAGTAAGGAGAAACATAGAGAGCGAGAAAGTGAAAAGACCAGAGACAGACATCACAAAGACAGGGACCACAGTGACAGAACAAAAAGCAAAAGGTAGAAAGATGCAGGCAGTCTTTCAGCAAATCCTATTTAAGTAAACTGTTAGAGTTATGTCCTAAACTTTGTAAATGCCTGCTAGGATTGTGCCATCTTTTTTATTCAGTGTTGGTGTTTTGCAGAAATAAGTCTGTGTTTTGGTATGAAGCTGCATACCAATACTCATCCTCCTTTTTTTCATTATACCAACTATCCCTAGAAATAGGAGTTTAATATTTTTCAAAATTTTACATTGCTGTATAGTCAAAATTTTAAAGATTTCTTTTATTAATATGCAATAAAGGCTTAGAAATTTTTAGTTGATGAAGTTGGCTTTAGTCAAGTATGCAATATAGCTACTGCCTTTGGTAATTTGTGCTCTCTTCTGTTTTAAGATGCCCAGTAATTTTAAAGTGAATTTCATACAATAACATTGTTTTTTTAAATTGCACTGTTTTTAAAGACTGTAGCAAAGCCTCAGAATTCACAAGCGTGTTACACAATATAAGTAATAAACTCTGTGGTGTGAAGATTTCTTTTTAAATTATCCAATAGTATAAAAAAGTAATTCAGCTGTATTTTCAGTAATTAGCAAGTATATCCCAAGCATCTAAAGCAGTTTGTGACCAGAAATTGGAAGGCTGAGTTGTCTGAATGTTATTGCTTTAAACTGCACTTGTTTTAATAAGAAGAAAAAAAATCACACTATATTCTTTAAACTATGATTTGTCTATTAATTTTCCCATTATTTTTCATGCTTCAAAAACTTGAATACCTAAGGTTGTACATTACCTTGTGTTTTGCTATTGTTTTTACTGTAAAATGTAAATATTTTAAGGAATATTTTGATTCTAAAAATGATAAAACTTTCTCACATAACTTGTGTGTCTGATTTTATGAGTGTGAAGCAGTAAGTTAAATTATATAACAAAAAGATGTAGACTGGCTCATGTAACTTTGCTTACACTTCATAATTAATTGGTTTTTGAACCACCCCAGGTCTTTAATACATAGAGGAGTCCAGATTTTGTGGTTACTGGCATCTACTGATTACTTTTTATAGAAATAAAACAGTACTGTCTCTTATACTCTCTAGAAAAAAAGAGTATATTGCTCATTTTGTTGAATCCGGTTTTGAAATACGACTGTTCTATTTTCATCACACATTTTTGCAGTACTTTAATCTGTTTTAATTATATTGTGTATAAAGACATTTAAGTACATTGCCTTACCTATGAACACAGCTTTTTTGCACTTTGGTGTAGAATAAATGTCTTCTTTCCAGTAACATATATTCGATTAGCATAAATTGTTAATTTGTTGAATCATTCATATATTTTAAAATAGCAAGCTATTAGCAGACATTGCACATAGCTTTGCAGCCAGTTAAATAATATCATTATTAAAAATGTTATTCCAAACAAAGTTGGTGATAGCTCTTATTTAATAATATTTCTTAGGCCTGTAGCTCAGGAAATTCCCAAGAAAATTTGTGGACTGTTTTATGAACTAGACATCTTGTATCAGTCCTTACTTTAAAAATCCTTCATAGTGCATAGTATAGACTAAAATCAGTCTGTTCATCATTGTTTGCATGATGTGCGGCAGTTAATCGGTTACTAACCTGAATGGTAATAATATATAAACATTTTGCCTGCTTAAACATTTTAGTTGGAGTTGTCTCAACATACAAGTGCACATGAAATTTCACATCCTTTTGTGCTAAGATCCTATATTTATAGTGCTCTTTCCTTTTATTCATATTTTAAAAAGGTAACATTTTGGGTTGATACAGTTTTGACATTCTGATTTAAACTGAAGCGGTTACATTAATTTATGGGATTAAATTAAAAAAACCCTCACCAATACCTGTGGTGTTGGCCCCTGGGACCCTGCACTGCCCCCACCTTTCCCCCACATGCCATGTCTTATATAGGCTATCTTCTAATCTACCTGTAAACAGCCTACTTCCCAGTTCACTGGTACCTACAAACCACCTTTTATAATGTGTTTGTATCATCAAAATAATTCAGTACTAGTAAAACTGAACACCTTCTCTATGGCTGAGAGATTAGTATGCCCCAAATATGAGGATGGCTTGTTTGAAAAATAATTTGTTGACATGATAACGGCAAACCATACTTCGAAAAAAAAACCATGTTTTTATGCCTTGCTGAAATCGTTATAGGACAGTTGTGGTGTCCAGTCTGCATCTTGTCTGTCCTCATCTTGTCTTGTGGCCCCAAAGAACTCTGAGCTTTGTTTCATTTTTTCTTTTTTTCCTCTTCTTTTTAAAAGGTGAGTGGAAAATATTATCTCAGGTTCTTATCTGTAATTCTAAACTGAGGTGTTAGTCTCATTTACTGCAGGAAAGCAGTGAAGGATAAAGCCCTACATACCAAGATTGGTCCTTGCATTGCCTCCCCCTGGCTCCATAGGCTGGAATTGGGCCCTGCATGACCTTGGGGACCAGGCCCTGGGGCCCCATACCACCCCTGCCTTGCCCCACACCTGGGATTGGGCCCCAGGACCCTGCCATCCATGCCTAGCCCTGCATGCTGAGGTCAGGCCTTGGGATTCCCCAGCTGCCTTCAGTGTTGCAGCTTATTTATTAATACCTGGCTTTCCAGAGGCTGCATTGCAAGAGAGGAGAGGAAAATGATTTTGGTTACTTGGATTATTTGTTGGGCTGCAGCCCTGAGTAAGCAGGACGAATATAAAGGATGGTTCTGTCTCATACACACACTCTCAGCAACTGAGGGATATCCTGGGAGAGAGGACAAAGAGGAAAAGCTGAGAACCAATGATCAATTATGTCCTGATTCTCTTCCCTAGTTTACTTTGGAGACTACTTACTAGATGAGCAATCCACTAGAGATCACATGCCAATTTGCAGACAGTTGGAAAGCAATACACACACTTCAGCTATTCTCTCAGCTCTCTTGACCCAGGCCTTCAGTGGAGTGAGGTATAGAATGCAGTCAGCTGTATCAGCTTTTTGTCTATTGAGAGCACCCTTGTGCTTGGGGAATTTCAGGCTGGGATATGTGGGCAGTTTTCACTCCCTTTGCATT